TCTGACTTCGGCCTTGGATTTCCCCTCTGGACTCTGTTGCTGCTCGGCGTCTGCTGCGCGCTCTCAAGGAACTCTGGGGGCATCTCCCGCCGCTACTGCGGTCAAACCTCAGCAAACGGACTGAACTTTGAATCAGGTCAGAGACTTAGCCCCAAGTCGTGTTAAACTCCATATCCAGTCACTGATCTGTATTCTCCCATTTCTGCAGAGAGCCGCACCGCAGCAGACGAGCAGCCCCGCGCACCTGTTTGGTTAAATAAACGCTTTGAACTTTCCCACTGTCTGTCTCGCCTCGAATTCTGGGTCCTACATTCTGAGATCATTACATAAAGGTCATTTACCACAAACCATAAAAGTGAATCTAAAAAGACAAGTAAGCAGACAGAACTTTTACATTAGCTGATATATTTACCGTAGTTACTTACCTTTATTGTTAGTTCTTGGTTTCTCCAGTTTATTGATGATGTCTTCTTTGACACCAGAGAGCTGAAACACACATTCATATTTGGTCCAGTCCTCAGATGACTGAAGGTTCAGGTCAACGTTCATCTGGAAGGTTCCATCATTGTTAGGGAGGATCTCTCCTTTCTCCACACCTTCATGGATCTCTGCTCCATCTTTCCTCCAGAACATTTCTGCTCTGTTGGGGTAGAAACCTGTAGCAAAGCAGCTGATTGGAGAGGAGGAAGACTTCTGGAGGAAGGACACTGATGGAAGATCTGGAGATGGAGAAAATCAGAGTTTAAATTGAAATGTTAAAAAATTAATAAAAAGACACAAACAAAGCCTGGTCACACATAGAATGTAATTAAATAAAACAAAATTCCCTTTGAACATTTATGTTAAAATAAAACCTTTAAATAATCAGTTAATCTAAAGAAAAACCAGGAAAAGTTTCTCTACCTGTTCTCATCAGAGAACTCCTTCCATAGTTAACATACTTCTTCAGCCACTCAGGACAAATCCGACTGAGGTAGTCCTTTCTGAGGGCCAAAGTTCCTCTGTCATTGTTCCATTGGTTTTTGGTAATTTCAGCCTGTTGCTTTGGAGCAATCCAGGTGTTTGTCTTCATGTCCAATGATAGCCAGTCTTCCCCATCATAACCATGCTGTCGAAAGCCAGTAACCTCTCCAGTCTCATCATCCCACTCACAGCCATACATTAACTGGACAATGTGGACACCTGGAAGACAGTAAATACAATCTGGCTTTAGATTTCTCTAACTTCTCTCTATCTGTTCATTTTTATTACCAAACCTTCCAACATCTTAGCAATAAACTAATATAAAGAAATTAGAAAAGTTATTCATCATTCTTAATAGAAAATTTGGATTTACTGTGTGCTGTTTTTTTTTAACAAGACTAATCAAAGGACTGTAACTTCATCTCACCCATACTGTATGTTCTAGGGTTGTCACGATACTAAACTTTTCAACTCGATACCGATACTAAGGAAAATATTCGATACTCGAAAACATTTTCAATACCACAAGGATAAAAACAAAGACTCCAAAATTCAACAGAAATATTTTCATTAATAAATAAAATACAATAAATAAACACAATAAAGGTTGTATGCTGTGCATAATATTATGCAAGCTTGATAAAAAACTTATAAAATTCAAATTAAGTGTTCCTTCCTTGGCTATGGTTTGCACACATAACAATGACACTAGCCAAACCGGTTAAGAAACAAAAATAATTCTTAGCAGCTGCACCTCTTACAAAACAAAAGTCTGAAACCGAAAAGAGCACAGAATTATTCAATCACACAGTGTTCTGAAAGTGCATTGTCCTCTATTCTGCACTTTA